CCAACACTACTGCTTCTAGGATTAGTTATTTCACATGGATGAATCCCCCTGCCTTCTTTGGCTCAAAAGTGGAGGAGGACCTGTAAGGAGTAATTGATGAATTGTTCAAGGTGCTGGATGACATGGGTTTATCTTCTCAAGAGAAGGAGGAAGTAGCCTCCTAAAAACTCAAAGATGTGTCTCAAGTTTTGTAAAAGCGATGGAAAGAGGAAAGGCCCGTTTGGGAAGGTTCGATTAGTTAGTCATCGCTCAAGACGACCTTCCTTTATAGGTTTTTTCCCTTAGAATATAGGGATAGAAATATAAAAGAATTTATCAACGGGGTATGGACGTCAAACGTCTAAGAACTTCGAAGACCTTTGAAAGATGGTCTTTAGACGAGCTAGTGTGTCTTTGTATGTTTGACTTGATTGTACATGTTGTTTAAAGTCCAAAAAAGTATGGTTGACACTTGTATATCAATACACATGTTAAGGGTCAAAATTTCAGGGTGTGAATCCCTGAGGACCACCCTAAAGGCCCCCGAGGAGGACCGAGACATTAGACAAAGAGGCTGCCCAAGGCAGCATCCAGTAGAAAGATTGGGGACTAGCCTCGCATTGCGTTCCTAGCAACGAGTGTTCCTGTGAAATGTGGGCCCAGAATGAGGTTCACTGTCTTGAAAATTTTTTAGGGGCAGAATCATAGGATTCCCTGGAACAGGCAACCACTTCCCTTATACGATTGCATCATTTTTAAGTCAACCTTGACATTTCTAAAAGTCCCAATAAGTATGAGGATGTTTTGGTAACTTTAGGAGACGATTATAAACTGTTTTTATGTCACGACCCAAATCCGGGCCGCGACTGGCACCCACACTTACCCTCCTATGTGAGCGAACCAACCAATCTAAACCTTAACATTTCAAGGTAATATCAACATAAAGTAATGCGGAAGACTTAAACTCATTAATAAAAACAATAACTATAAATATTCAACATCTATTATTCCCAAAACCTGG